TTTTTTGTTTTGGTGGATTTGCTTTTGTTTTTTGCTTGTTGTTTTATTTGTTTGTGGGTTTGGTGGGTGTGAGTTTTTTGGGGGTTCTTTTTTTTGCCTTTTTTTTCGGTTTGTTTTTTGTGTGTGTGTGGTTTTGTTTTTTTTCCTAGAAGAAAGTTGCTTAAAACATTTGTTAGAGTCTTACTGCTCTTCATCATTATCGACTTATGCTAAGGTTTTGTTTGCTTGTATTGGAGGGAGCCTTTTTGCAGGGCATTCATGCTTGAACTGATCTTATTCTATATTTTGAGTGGATTCGTAATCCATAAAGTGGTTCACTCCAGTGCATTAGACTAGCAATTACAGTGCTTGGAAGGCTATGCAGTTTTGGGAGGTGGATCACTTCTGGGGTGGGGTGGCTCTGGCTGCAGGTATTTTTGAGTATTTATTTGTCTGAATGGAAATGGATGTTTATATGTTTCAAAAAAGTCTCTCTAATTTAAAAAACCTTATTGTCTCTATATACAAAATATACATAACTTTATTCAGAATATCTTTGTTAATATTCTTCCAGACTGTCTCCACAAAGTGACTTTACCCAAGATGGTAAAGTTTCGGGAAGATTTTTCAGCCTTGTTTTGTTCTACCTGAGTAAGCAAATAGGGTACTTAGAATTCTGAGAGCTCCATTGTTTCCTGGTTGGACTTTCAAGAATGTAACATGGTAAAGGGTAAATGGCATGTTGAGGCCTGTGAAATCAGTCAAGGTTGAGCTTAAATATGCATAGGAARAAAGCAAATGCATGTGGCTGATGTCGAGTTTCATAACAACCAACCAAAAACAAGCCCAGAAAAAGCCCAAAACATTGTTGGTTAGCTGATAATAAGACTCCAAAATTGCACAGTTAGCGTGACAGACAGTTCAAGGAAAGAAAGGTAAGAAAGAGTTGTGTGAGCTTTGTAATTCTGCTAAGAATGTATTGGCTTATGTAACTGTMGGTGCTGTAGGAAGGCTTCTTAGCAAGCATTCCAGGGACAAGTACAGTGTGGCTGTCCTGTGTRATTGCTGAGGATTTGAATCTCGATTGGCTTTGGTGGAAATAAGACTGAAAGAGAGGATGTTACTACAAGTTTCTTGCAGACAGCAGCTGAACCTCACTGATCCTGGTGGGACAGGGGAGAGAACAGCAAGCAGGACAGTGGGAAAGCTGTGGGCTGATAGCAGGATAGTTCACCCAGCCAGATCCTTCTCAGAGTTGTTGACTCTGGGAGGAAAGGATTTTTGTTACGGTGGTATTTACTGATGGAAAACCATTGAAGGTCAGGGATCTGTGTCTTGCCAAAACCAGGCCCACGTCTGGTTTTAGAATCGCTAGCTTTCARCTACTTGCTGATGTTGCCACCTAATGGCAAGAGTAGCGCTTGGCTGAGTATTTAGGGGCTTTTCGCTGCTTTCCACGGATGATTTTTACCAGCCATGTSTGCTCAGGTTACATCCGAACAGTTGTCAAGGAAACTTGAAATCTGGAGTTCTGTTTTGTCTTTCTGCTAGTGAGAGAGAATTTTAAGACTATAAAGCTATTTAAAAAGTCAAGAAGTGATTATTATCTTCTAGTCATGATTCTCGTGCTTTACCAGATTCTGCTTTATCTTTTTGGTCAAATATTGGTGCTTAAAAACGAAGTAATTTTATTGTGAGGGTAGTACAAAAACTCTTCTGCTAATGAAGGTCTGCACATCACACTGGCAGAATTCCCCAGGCTGATTAGGGAGCCCTCTTGGATCATTTCAGTTCCAGCTGAAGTTCAGCATTACAACTTGAACTGTTAAAGCATGGGTGTCCTTCGAATTTTTTGTGAAGACCCTGAAGAAGTGTAAACTAGGGTGAGGCTGTTGAATTAAAATTGGCATTAATTCTGCTTTGACAGTCTAGCATGTCATTTAACTGAGAATTCAGTTTAAAAGTAATAAATAYTTAATCTTCAAGAGAAATTCTTTAATGGACCTGCCCTGGTCCCAAGTTCCCGTGGTGCTGGTTGGATTTCAGTCGGACAGCAGTCACCTAAGGAAAGCAGGGATTTTCAGGAGCCCTCCTGTGGGGTGGATTTCCTATAACTGTGGGAAAACTGTGCATGTGAGCCTTGAGGTGATGCCAGTCCTGCCTCCTGGAGCAGCAGGCAGGACTAACAGGAGGCAGGTAAGACAGCACTGTTGGTGTTCATTTTGGTTTGCCCGAACGTTGCCAAGTATGTTCTGTGTAGGCCGTTTCACTTGTGTGTGTATTTCCTGCCTCCTCGATCTTTCTTTATCAGTGAAGAGAGAAAAAATCCTCATACTGGGAAGTGAGCTGGACTGGGGTTCACAGTTCATGCCACTGTTGGACTAAGAATGTTCCTGATGGGGCTGCTTGTGGGAAAATGCTTAATTCTATTCTGCATGTTCAGTATGGTTTAAATAAGAGCACTCATGTAGGGCTGATTGCTTGCCCTACTGTCTGAGATCCCAGTAAGGCTCCTGTGGTTAACCTGAGACTTCTTCAGTATCTTCCAAGAATTCTAAATATTTTATTTTTTGTGTTTTGGAATSTAGGTTTGGGGAATTAATTCACTTGGTTCAGGTTTTTTTAAAGGACTTCGGGGTTGATACCTYAATATGTAGTTTTTCTGTACTTTATAAATTCATTTGAATGTGAAAATGCTTTTCTAATGATTTCATGTGATGCCATAAAATAGTAGGACTTCAATGGTTTTGTCATGAATACTTGGTTGAAGAGAAATGGATTGAGGCAACAAATATTTAACTTCTGAAGTTTGTTGCCCATCTCTTAATGGCTGACGTAGTCTTTGCTATTCTTCCTTAGCCTGTAGTGATGTTGACTAGAGGCRTATCAACAAACTGAAGTATCTTCTCCTTTTTGCACTTGTGTTCTCCAGGTGGGTTCTCAACGGTGTTTCTGGTGCGTACCCCCAGCGGGACCCGCTGCGCACTGAAACGAATGTGCGTGAATAACGTGCCAGACCTCAACATCTGCAAGAGAGAAATCACCATTATGGTAAGAAGGCCATTATTTGGAAATGGAGAATGGGTCACTTGGTAGTGTGACAACACATCAAATGCCTTTCCAGTGGTTCTGGACAACTCTTGCCTTTGATCCTGTAGTCTGGATTTTCCACCAGTATTTTCCRAAACTAATGCTGGCTTTGGGGTTGGTGCATGATTAATTTCTAAAGGAATTAGTAAAATACGTATTCGATACCACAGTCAGTTTGGTCAGTACATCTGGTTCCCAAGCAAAAGCAATTTCTTCCAGTACTACAGTGGCAACTGAAATTCTCCCTTAATTTTCTCAGTACTGACGTGTAATGTGCGTTTTCTTTTTCAGAAAGAGTTGTCTGGGCACAAGAACATTGTGAGCTATTTGGACTGTGCTGTCAACTCCATAAGTGATAATGTTTGGGAGGTGCTTATCCTCATGGAGTACTGTCGAGGTAAGAGTCACCTCCCAGGTTTGCAGAGTAAAGGCGAGGAAAATGCATTATCTATCACTTGTGATTTTATTTAAATCTGGAACCCTTCATGTAAGAGGTTGACACATACTTGTCACAGCTGGAATCCAGATAGTTCATTTTATGCTTCCCTTACCATTGCTACTTAGGCAATGGGCAAA